TCTATATACTTAATTACTTGACCGTAAAAACTCATGTTCTCATGTATAAAACGTCTCATGATACAGGACAGACTTTTTGCTCTTCTACTTCATCCTGTCATCAGGAATACATTAGGCTCTTTACTCGTCTTATCCTTGCATCCTTGGCAAAAATATTTCTTATCACCATCGGTTTATTAATCGATATTTTTTCTATAAAGCATGATAAGTAGCGTTATTACAAGAAATCGGAGCCAAATATTTAATTAACCCCAATGAGTAGTTTAAAATAAACTCTCTTATGTTCAGGCGCGGTATCAAATTGCCAATCTGGAATGAACAAATATTTGCTAAAGCTCACTTTGCAAAATTGGAAGTTTGATTGCTTATTGAAATATTCTTGTGAGGATAGTCACTTATATAATGGTGATGAGCATAAAGCCAAAGCTTTAACTAAATTCCTTACATAGAAATACAAAAGTGCGATATGAAAAGAAAGCTTTATATGGTTCCAAAGTTAACGAAATATATAGTGAATGGAGATAAACGTTTCTTCTTCTTTTCTTGACCCTTTTATAACTGCGTAAAATACGGGTTACCTGTATTGAGAAAGCATTCCGGTTTTTATGAAGCAACGCTTGAAAACTTTCTATTATGTGGAGATTGTGTACATAACGACAGATTTGATGCACTGATCCACCCAATCGAATGTTCTGAGACTGTTTTCCGGGTGGCAACTTATGAAAAACGTCTCCTGAAATTGTCAGTCAGGATGCACCGATTGTGTGACGGTAATCCACAGTGGCGACAGTTCGCAAAGGAAAAATTTCTCGCGTCTATAAAGTCAGTCAGGAAATATTGGGTAAAGTGGACCCTTAAGTTGACGCCTAAAGGACAGCAGGCTCGTATAGGAGCACTGTTATTATTTATGCAGATTCGATCAGATTAGAGGAAGCTGGGTCAGTCTCGGTTAGAGTGTTTGTTGCAATATTAAATATCTGTCCCAGAAGTCCCACGTTACGCTTCACACATGCATACTTGTCGTGAGATTTAATTACTAACACCTAACACGGTTTGCATAATTCAAATGTTAGCCACATTAAAAATCAAATTACCACAAGGCCCCTACATATGGAACGTCTCCAAGATGAAACACAATTCAAGTAAGAGAATCAACAAAGATTTGTTTCATTCTTGTTGCCTATAAATGTATAATTAATGAAATTGTACAAGAATAAGCAATTTTGTTTCATCAAAACTCTTTATTAAGTGTTTATGGGCTAAAACTAATTTTAAGAGGCAATTTACAATATCGTCAAATCTTGGCAAATAAGTTCTATCAAACGGAAATGGAGGAATGTGAATTCTCGCTCTTGGCCGTATTTTCATATTTTAACTGGCACCATATTCGATAAAACTATCGGAAAACTTATGCAGGCGTGTGTAATTACATTAAAGTTTACGAGGATTTAAATAATGTAGCATAACTTTCCGAGCATTTTTCAGCAAACGAACCAATAGTTCTACCGAGAATTATTAAATGACAGAAACACGTGTACGACTGTTTTAAAAACGACAAGTTAGAAAAGGTTAAGTTTATACAAGTTTCTGAAAACTTATTACCAGTTACACTTAGTTGTGATCTCTATAGTATATAAATTCATTTTCTTCCTATCTGTGTCGTGTTTACTCTTTCAGTAGCTTCCTACAAACGAGTCTCAAAATCCAGTTATAGCAACTCTGAGAACTTGTTATAGAAGTGTTTATCATTTTCCACACATATTTCCCATTTATATGTCAGGCTAGTCGATTCCCCTGGCGCTATTTGATTTCTGCCAACGTCTAACGGTTAATAACTCACCATCTTGCCATCAAAAAGAGAAAAGCTGCTGTCAGATAAGTAGCCAACAAAAGCCACTGATTGCGTTTTAACCTCCTTCTTGGCCGCTTGCTTCCCGGATTCACTCATTGCCATGCTACATCGCTGCCACGACATATTATGATATATAGCAAATAAAGTCTTGTGCTACTTTTTATTTATTTTTTATTTTTGATGTGCCAGAATGCTAATTCTTTCTTTTGCTTAGCCTAGTTCCAGATAGCATCTATACCAAATTTAGTTTTAAATACATCTAGAAATTTGTGTTTCCAGAAGACGCATTTATAGTTTCCCAAAGTTAGACTGAAACCAGTTTCATGTCACATCAGTTGTGGAGCGTATTTTCACCTCGCCAGATGGAGCGAAGTTGCTGTCAATTACGTGGTATCGCAAGTTGCATGTGGATGATGATGTTTTCTTCGTCTGTTACTATTTGTTCTTTTCAAATATGCTCACAGCTCAAGAGACTGGTACATCTTAAATTAGAAGAGCGATATGAAAAGAAAAAAATGAAGGCACGGTTACAGTCTAATTGAATAGGGACTTTAGATGAGATATAGTTGTTTACAAAGCGTCATCATTTTGAAATATTTTATTGCTCATTTATTTGCTAAATTAATTTTTATGTTCGTGATGTTTGTATAAAATATCTCCAGAGTCACTTATATCTTGGATAACTTTTTGAAATGGGGGAGACTTAATTTAATGAACTTAAGCTTTTACCAAAAGTGTTTAAGCAAAAAATTGAAATAGAGTTTACATTTATTTCTTAGACAAAGAATCAATTGATTTAGGTAGTATGAGTACCTACTTACCTAAATAGTACTAAAACGTGCTCTTCCACAAAAAAATACGCACATTAGAAACCTAATTCAACTTATTTATCAAAATTGCCACTTCTAACAAAGCTTTGCTTTATTGTATTTTATGGCTGATGTAAAATTTCGCTCCCGTTAGACTGTAGCCAAATAATAGAATTCAGATGTTTATTGACGATTTTATGGTGATTGCGGAATATAAAGTAAGTAGAGTAGACTCTAATCAGTGATAACCCATTTCAAAGTTCTTCTGATATTAACTTTTTCATTACTTCTTTCAACTTCTTGCTTTAACCATTGAGTTAAACATAACTTTACTTTGAACACTGTAGAGATCTTGCTTTATTAGAGAGTTCAATGCTGTTCGTATGTGTCAAAAGTAGCTTTGCTTTATCATTTGTGAGAATTAAGTTTGTTTATAAGATAATTTGTTATTTTATACAATAGAGTTGTACAGTGAGTACAACGTCATAAATAAGGCTCGGATTATATGCACGAAAAATTCGTAAAATGTGCGCATATATATGCACGTATTTTCACAAAAATATGCACAAGTTATTAAGAAATATACTCCAATATATGCCAAATATGCATTGACATGCAAAACTTTTAGCAATAAAAAATCAAAGATGGGATAAATTTTTATCCTTGACTACCTACACTAGACTTTATATTTTCGGTATCTCGAACTGCACAGGATAAACGAAAGAGAATAAATAAATTGATTTTGCCTCAGACAAGCCAGTTTAGTAACCTAGTAATTAAGCTTTTCTAAGAAATTTGTACTTTTCAGATCATGCACATCACTTTAAACTATTTCTTATTTCTTTCTAATTTACTTGCAGACAACTACTTACTTATTCGAATGGAAGGAAGGGGTGAATAAAAAGTATAGAACTAAACTTTTTTTTGCTTTAACTATTTGTTTTTTATATTTTAATAAAAAACATCGCATAACTCAAAAAGAAAAAAAAATCGTGCTGAAAATACGATCACATTTTTTATATTACTTTAATTTATTTTAAGTATTATTTTCTAGAGGCAATTTATTAAAAAAAAAAACCGCTTAGTTCTGTACTTTATATTCACCCTGTATAAAACGAATTCATAAAGGAAACACTCAGCAGGATACTAATTCTTTGAGTCCGCTTACTACTTACCGGTTGTTTTTCTTTAACATATTTTGTAATCGGATATCTTTTCTTAAACTGTCTAATTTTTAAATTGAACTTAAATTCTTAATCAAAAATTTGTGATTTTAGGAACACATATATGCAATATTTCCTAAAATATGCACAAAATATGCATTTTTAATTGGCCTATTTTAATCAAAAAACATTAGATATGCATAGAAAATTTATAATTTTGTTGATAGTTATACCTCTTAATAAAAAATATGCATTTTGCATATAATCCGAGCCTTAGTCATAAACTAGATAATTCGTACGAAATTGTCCAAAATTTTATTTATGTCTGCTAATAAAGACGAAAAAGTGTCCTGTTTATTCAGTTTGATTGCCTTTCGGTAGAACAGTGCCGGAGAGGCACACATAACAGAAAGATAATTTAATCTCGTGTATTTTACTGTAGCAACTTAACGTATTTAAACATTATTAGCGTCCCTTCCACTGAGAGTACTTTTAATACGTTTTCTCAAATCACGACAGACTTTATAATATTAAATGAATTGTCCACATTAGCGATGATGTTTAACTAGGATTACTTAATTTTCTCAATCAGAAGAAAATTATTCTCTTTGTTTAACTTACTAGGACTTGGGACTTATTAGGAGAAAAAGCGCCTCTGTCAAAATGCGAATAAAATCGTGAATAAAAGTAGCAAAGCATAATTGTTTAAAAACGAAAACATCTGGGATTCAAACAGGAAGACGGAAATGTATCTTTTCGTAGTAATTCTGTCGAATCTCGTATTCAAAGAAATCAAAGAAATCATCGTGGATCTATTGAATATTCATTTCTGTGAAAGCTTTTTATTTGCATTGTGGACTTCTTTATTCCGGGACATAATCGGGTTAGTTTTGAAAAAGTTGTAATTAATCGTCTCTGCTTTATTTCTGAAAAATTGTGGCTAATATCACAAACCGTGGCGATTAAAAATACGTGTTACAAGATATTTCAGCAGCTTACAGTAACATATCGTCCCCGCAAGAGCCACTATTTACTGTAACGAGTAAAAACAGGTAGAAAAGCTCGCGATGTTAAAAACCTTCTGAAAACCCATGGAGGCGACGCATGCGTTACGTGAAGGAAAATCTGCATCGCTCACTCGCTCAGTTTCCCAGGCAGTCCCGGACCGACGCCGACGACGTCGACTGTGCTTTCGTGTTCCAAGGCGTCGTGACGTGTTTCTGCATAATAACGACGGAAAGTCTATGAGGAAACTCGCCGGGTTTTTTTTCAATTAGCATCATTGCTTTACACTCTATTTCATGTAACACGAACATGCTGGGAAGTTTTCACTTTTCCAGGTAGGTTGTGAAGATGTTTACATTTTCTCTTTCTGTGTGCCTGCTCAAGACTGGTGCTTGTTGCACACTCAATACGTTTTTGATTTCTCCAGTTTATTTGTGGGCATTCCGGGGCAAAAACCACAAATCTTGAGAAATTTATATTGGACTTTTAAAAATTTGTAATAACCACTCATTCATATCTTCTTTTGATGATCGATGTCGGATGACTATGGTGTTTGACTATAAACTATCCAAGTCTGATAAGCAAATATTAGGGAACAAATAAACGGTCAATCGGACAGAAATTTATATTTATTGTCTGGATGACGTAAACGGGTTAAATGATGAATTTCTCATTGACCTTGCTCAAAACTTGTCGTTGGTGAGGATTTTCATAAGTGACTGTAAAGCACTTCCACGCGCATTTGATCTGTCAAGAGCCGAATAAATCCCGAGGTTTGCATAGAGAGATGATGAAATCAATAGAGAATGCAATGTCGCGATGAAAGGGTTCAACCCAAAATAGTGACCAACACAAAGGGTAATTAGAATGGAAAATTAGTTATTTAAATTTAAATTAGTGGAGAAAGAGCTCGCTAATGATTCCACTGGTAAGGGAATTAGTGAACAATCAAGGAGATTTGAATTCATTGGGTCAAAAATCTGCACAAAAGCCCACTTAGCTTTACACAATAGAGACGATCGAGATAAATATCCCGCTGCGATTTCAACTACATTTCCTAAAAATAAATGTTTAAGTGTCTTGTTAAAATGCAAAGAAATGAGAGTGTTTGATTCCAAAAGAAACTTCATGTTTTTGCGACTGTGAAAAATTGTCGCTTTATGACCGCTGAGCTTGAGGTGGAAAATTTAGTTCGATGTTTAGCCACGTACATTAGGAAAACTGTTTTTTCGATAAAATTCAAATAAAAAGAAAAGCCGGTTAATAACATTTAAGTAAACAAATCGCGATTCACAAATCGGTGAAACAAAATTAGAAACTTGGCAAGATATCTGCTGTAGTGTAATTTATTTTTTAAAACTTAATGGGCCAATTCTGCTGACTATATTAACCCGTGACGTTGAGAACTAACGATGCATTCATTACGTAGTCAAAATTTTCCTCACTCAATATGTTACCTGCAGCTTCTATTGTAAGTTGAGATATTGCAAGACAGACATGAAACAAAATGGAATAAGACAGGTGTCACAGAATGTAAAACTAATAAATATGATCTTGTTTTTCTCGAGCGTTTGCAATGGATATTTTTCAGAAAACAACTATAGAACCCATCCGTGTTGTATAATGATATGAAATCCTTCATGAAGCAAGTGTTTCCATGATTTATTTTCGGCGCATGGTGCCAACCAAATCACACGCTATGCACTTTTCACAAAATTAAAGAACTCAAAAATTTATTTTGCTTGAAACGTTCTAACATTTGGCAAATTGGCGCCAATAGGTCTGGTACCTAAAAATTAATTAAGAAATCATTTGTCCAGGCAAAGAAATTAGGAGACATTGAGCTGCTGGTTAGCGTGTTATGTAGCTACGTGCCTGGAATAATTGCAATGAATAAGCTGGAGAATTTCGTTCGGTTAATTCTTTGCACGAAAGTAGTGTTCATATTGCTCCGCGAATGAGAAACTGTAATAACATTTTTATTTGTTTGTATTTATGCTTCAATAACAAAAAAATGCGGTTGAAAATTTATTTTCTGTCGGTGGGAAGCTAAATAAATTTTCAAGTTATGTGACAACGTGGATAAAATGCAAATATGTATTTGTATCTCTAATAGTATATGTATCTCTTTGTCATCGTAAAATCAAAAGGTCACAAGGGAATTATATTTCTTTTAAAATATATATCTCAAATTATTTTACGTTTTTACATACATTTGGCGCCGTTCCAAAATTCCTGTTTGAACGTTAAGTAATTGAATGAATTTCTTCCTCAATATGCTATTAATTTTTGAATTAAGTTAATCTTTATTCTGATAACAGTATCTTTTTAGATGCGCAATTAATTCGTATTCAGTTAGTTTTCAACAAAAGTTTAAATTTAAAAAGTAATTTAAATGCAAGTGAAACAAAAGCTAACCAAAATATGCAGAGGGATGGAACAGTATTTAATTAATATCGTGTAAAATTTTACTTCATGAATATTAAAAAGTTTTGAAAAAGACGAACTGAACGTAAATCACTGGGTAAATTCTACTTTGATTTGGGATTGCATTGGTTTCGGACGTAATTTTGATAAAAGGCGGTGTTTAATGACAGTTGGGAACTCTGTCGTGTTGGAAATTCTGAATGGCTATTTTTCAGCAACTTTTTTCATGCATCGCAGGACTCGAAGGAGAGGAGAACGATATCAGATATTCCATGTCAAACTGAGCTTTCAGATGAGTGTTCTAGCAGAATAAATTTTAAAGCTGTGCTAATGTGAATTTTTCATTTTGGTTACAACTCTCTTATTATCTGACGGGATTAAGAATGGTAATAAATTTAAATGAGCCCAAATTCAGCATGCATATTTTAACGGGCTTCTCTTTTGATGCTCCTCATAATGCAGATTGTACTCGATATGACTGGTTCATTAAAATAACACCATAACATTTCGCGTTCCCTGTTTACACGTTTCGGTGTAAACAAACCTCAGTTTTAAACAGAACATGCCGACTTCAATTAGTCTGATAAGCTAGCCTTTGATACTAGCCCAACTGTTTATTTGTTTAACTCCTTCATTACATTTAGTAGAAACTGATTGCTATCACCCGCCGCAAAAATTGCTCGTTCCTGTTAATGAAATAATTGCTATTTCAGAGCGTTGGCAGATAACCAGAAATTTACACAGGATGTCATCTTGTTGAATTTTGCATTTTGATTAAATCTAAATTTTTTTGAAAAACAGGTAACTGACAAGAGTCATTTGAAATGGGTCATTGCGCAACAATACGAATTTAGACAGTTTTAAAATACATTTAGCCCCATTGCACGAAAGCGTCAAAGTTTTGCTACGGTTTTACATACAGATACATATTTAAATATAAACTGCTTGTATTTAAGTTTACTTCAGACAAGAGTATTCCAGGAAAATTCACCGAATAAATGCACTCAAATTTTACACTCTTCATTTCAACCAAGCTGAAAACACTACGTGCATGTGAAGGCAGTTCCAGTAAATACTGTTCAAAATATATAGGCTGTTCCGTTTTTATTGTTACAAATTTAAACAGACATGTATCAAAAAATGTTATGTAAGCGAGCTACAACATCTGAAAAAGATGCGTTTTTTAATGGGGTTTTTCCACTATTGCAGAATAGTGTGTAAAATTACAAAAGTTGGTACAGCTTTAAACACCTGAACGAAGTCAAAGATCAGTTGTCGAAATTTTTAATCACGGGTGTTTTAAACGGTATGACGAATTTAATGAAATTAAATTTAAAATTGTGTGGCTGAAAGTGGCAAGAACCAACAGCCAAAATAGTTAGGGTACTTTTTACAATAAACCCCCCCAGTTTAGAACCCTCCTGAGTAAAATTTTAAATAAAATATTTTTGAATTCGTTTGGGTGTATAAAGGTTATCAGTTGTACCAAATTTTGTAATTTTATCTACAATGGTTTCTGAAATATTGAAAAAAATCCATTAAAAATGTACCCCGTTGAGAAGGTGTAGCTTTCTTGTATAGCATTTTTTGATACATGTTCACAGGAAACTTTTATTTTAAAATGAAATATTCTATCACTTGTTTACATTTGTAACAATAAAAACGGAACACCTGTATAAAAGTTTTGTTTAAAATTATTTCATTTGAGATTGTTGGGTTCAATGAGCCAAGAAATAAACAAGCAAATCCGTTTTGCAGTTTGTGCATTGTTTTGGATCAAAGCCTGTTGTATTTTTGATATTCAGTCGGTCTATGGGCGCAGACTTTTAAAACTGTTACTGGGTCCATAAACAATAAATAATACATAGTTATTTATTATATCGAGAGATCAAGATAATTTGTAATTGAGTCACTTTTGGATCCGAAAACGTATATACAGGGTGATTCACGAGGAATAATGAGCCTGACCAAATTCTCGATGCAACCAACATTACAGTTGTCGCAAAATAACTTGCAAAAAGTAATGGTGGTTGCATCGAGAATTTGGTCAGGCCTATTATTCCTCGTGAATTACGTTGTATGTCTGGAAAATGTCAAGTAAAATGACAAGTCGAAAGGTAAAGTGGCATGATCAAAAAGGTGATAATTGTAATAACTAAATTTATAATTTACCTTCAAAAAAGAAAGGACTACTCGTATTATTATACGTCGGCGACTAATTCTAGCCCATTTTGCCGTTTTACCTTACGACTTGTCATCTTATTTGACGTTTCCCGGGAAGTTAGACATACGTTCTCGGATGCAAAGATGACTCGATTACAAATTATCTTGATCGCTCGATACAATCTTTATCGTCGTGTATAATACAGGGTGATTCAGATAAGATAATGAGCCCGACGTTCTGGCGATGCAAACCAAAAAACAAATTTCATTTACGTTTTGATCTAATTTTAATTACGATTTGCATTTGCAATCCAAGTTATCTTATGTTGCTCTGACAGTGCAATTTATGATTTATAAAAAAAACTGTTTGCTACCTTTAATGTTTAATTCTTTCATACATTTTGTATTGGGTTTACATCGAAAAGACTTGTCTGTCTTCTCTATCATTCCGCGAGAACTGAATGGCACTAATGATCGTTCTTTGCACTGATGTCAGAGTGACATAAGATGATAACTTGGATTCAACTTGCAAATCCTAATTTAAATTGGATCAAAGACGTAAATGGAATTTGTTTTTGGGTTGCATCGCCAGATCGTCAGGCTCATTATCTTATCTGAATCACCCTGTATTTCGTTTTATTTTATACTCACCTTGAATATAACTAATAGATAAAAATTACTTTTTTTTACTAGACGATAAAAGACTACTTTATCTACTGAAATTAGTTGATAAAAACACTCTTTAACATTAGTACAAAATAATTAATAATGAATAATATAATAATAAAAATACGAGTAATTAATGAATTTATCTAACATTTAAAAAAAAACAATAAAAACAATAGCTATTTATATATCAAGTACGCAAAATAGGGTTGTAAGGGACGAATCGTAATTAATGACGAGGCGACGTAGGAGCCGAGTGCATACAAGATTTTTTTTGTTAATGCTCCCAAAAGACGAATTCACACCTCAACTAATTACTAATTAAAAAAAAATCGTTATCATAGTAACCAATTTTATTTTTTAGTTCGCAAAAACTGTTTTTGTGGACTGAGTACCTAAAATAACCGTTTTGCGTACTATTTTATTGAGTCCTGTTTTCGAGAGCGTATACAAAAAAGATTTTTACGGACATATTTAATCTTTTTGTGTGTGTCCATAACAAACAACACAACAAACAATAAAAAACTTAGGTATTATTTTTTAAACAATTTTTATGAGTGGATTTGCTCCAATTCACCCATGTAGTCCGTGATTTAGTATTTAGCAGATTTTTGAAATACATACTTGGATATTATGTATACATATGTATTGGATGATGAAAAATGACTGAGTTGGAACGGAATTAAAAGCACTTTTTTGGATGTTGCAGATTGTAACCGGGTATGATTTTACTTTTACAAATGATGTTGTTAATCAAAAGTTACTCTTAAAGTTATTCCGGTGGTATCATTAAAAATAAATTGCCAACACAAATAATCATTTTTGATCACTTTGTATGTTATAAAGATTTCTTGCAAGAGATAAAAAACTTTTCATTTTAATTTAAAACATTGTGTAGGTACAAAAAAATCGTTTATCTAGAAGATGCTCTAGAGTAGAGAGGCAATTAACTGTAATCATGAAAATAAAATTACTGTTATATCTTTGAAGATAGAAAAATTAAGCTATGGTATTTTCTTATTTTCTTCCTATTCCTGTTTGAGACTTTTAGTTCAGGAATTATCGATTTCTTTAAAATATTCTTATTTTTTAAAGAGTAAACTTATAGAAATTAATATTTCCTAAGTTATTCAATAACTTTAAAAAAATTAAATGTAATGTTCTTTTAGTTAAAAATTTTTAGGTTTTTTTAAAGTTCAGTAGGCATAAGCTTGTTGGGATGAATAGTGAAGTCAAAAATGCATTTAAAGTTAGTTGGGATGCTTTCCTACTCTACTAGAGTGGAAATGTCGTATCTATTTAGAAATGTCTAATGTGAGACTCTTGTTCCAGAACCTGAGGCAAACAAGCTCGTTGGACCATGTTGTAAACTACATCCAATACGGCAAGTACATACACAGTCCTCTACCGAGCCAGCAGTCTAATTGTGAAGTTGACACTGGTTTTATAGAGCTGCAAACTGTAAAAACTTGTTGCTAGAATCGTGTCATCAGCAAAATATCGTATCATTTGTCATGTCGTAAAAACTTTACAACTCTGCGTTTAAAAAAGAGCAGCAAAGGTGCTTGCCCCTGTTGACTAGGGGCGCGAGTAATTTTTGAGCTGTCACTGTGGAGTGGTCGGGGAGTGAACCTATGGACTGTGATTCTGGTGAGGGAATTATGAAATCAGACGAGGAGATGGGTCGTGACAAGCCATCTGGTGGAAGCTCCGCCAACCACAATCATTACACCAGTAAGTAGCACTTCTTGCTTAATTGTCCATTTGGACAATCCTTATCAATTCTTTAGGGATAATTTAACGATAAGGCTCCATCTGAATGCGATTTTATTCGGCGGATCGCGACGGGATTTGGATGTTTGTAACCCAAGTATCGATTCGCAGTAAAGTTGGTTTATGTCAGGTGTTGGGTGCGATTTGGGGAAAATTTGTCAAAAAATCTGCTCCGACATTCATATTTAAGACACTCATAATATCGTTATAGTCACAATAAAAACTGTCATTGAAGATTGAAATAATTGTTATGAGTTTTGGCAGCATCTGCATTATATACATATATCCAAATTTAATTTCGAGATATACATCTTGGATAATAAAATCATGACGGCTGCGTAGGGACGACACGTTTCGTATTAGTTACATACGTTCCATCCAGAGTTGCACAATAAAATTAATATTCTCACATTACTTCACAGATGTTTCGGAAACATGTCTCTATTATTAATTCACTTTGTTTTGTTTTCGAATTTACAAATTTTAGAACAGAGTAAGTATATATTTTTGACACCAAAAGCAGGTACTCTAAATGATATTAATCTATAAATTTATTATTTAAGAATCAAGAGGTAATAAACACCACTTAATCGTCATGTTAATTAATTATCTTTCTCCTTACAATTTATTCCTTTTGCGGTTTAGTATAACCTAAATTTCAGCCCTACCAACAAAACAATGCAATGAAGTATAAAGGGAGAACACTAGTCAGTAATAAATTAAATTCTCGACTTCTAAATTAGTTAGAAGTAATAAACATATTTAGGTGTTTATTCATCTAGCTCTGCCATCCATGGAAGATTTATTGTCAATTTACTAGCTGATTTCAGAATTAGACCTTGGTTTCTTGTTTTTATTAAACTATCGTAAAATTGCAACTGTATAAAATATGACGACAAGTAAATTATGAATATTATTAAATACCGCATAAATTATTATGAGGAAATGATTTTTTATAAATAAATAAGTATTTGATCTTGTTCCGAAATAGTTCATTGCGTTTTCATCGGTTGATGGAAGATTATATACATAATTAATCATGTTTAAAAGCGAATTTGAAAGTTCAGAAAAATCAATATTCCATTTAATAGTTTAATAGCTAGGGTTTTTTTCCAATTTCAAAATTTTATTAATCAACAATTTGTAAAAGCGTGTCAGTATTGGTCCATCGACGTTATTGAGGAAACACATTTTAATTAACGAAAAACAATTTGAATTTTACTTCAGTCTTTCAGTTTAATATTACATTTTTTTGTCAGATTACAATAAGTTCACAAAGATTTGGGTCATTAAATTTTATGGTGGCCAAAATGTGGATTTTCACTAATAAATTATAGTTCCAATATTTGTGCATTTAACTGTATAAAAGATTTATCAGGAAGTTTATTTTGATTTAAGCTCAATTTGCAGCTGAATATTCACAAAAATGCTTTATTTTATTCATTAAACACATAAAAACACGTTATTGTATTCAATTCTTTCTGTGCACTCAGTTGTCTAGTATAGATGTTTATCTCTAATAGATGATATATAATAGGGGATGACAGCTTGCCATCTGCTTATCGCTTATTAAAAGGATAGTGTCTCCACCTGCCCCAGATCCAAGTTTCCCGGAAGAAAGAGCGAAACTGCACAGGTGGCAAGGAGTTTTCTAAATTAAAACTGGGATTTGTCTGGGTCAGGCGTGACACCGATGTCGGTTTCAATGGAGTGCCATTTTTAATTCGCCACCAGCTATATTCTTAATGATAAAAAATCGACTAATTTCTTTGCGTATTCTGCGAACGAAGTCATTTAAGACCGTTTAACTTTTAGCGCAAGTTTAAATTCCATCCTATCATTATTGTCAACGATTAACGTGCTTTTCCTCATTTTATATAAATGATCGATAAAAATCGTCGACATTCTGATTTTTTTATTCTGCTATTTTTATAACTCCATTTCCATTTCCCCTTCTCTGAGAGAAATTAAAATTGAGAAATGTACATTCATAATCCTTACAGGAATGTGGAATCTGCACGTATCCGACATAACATTGAGTTTTCTCGTCCGAAGTTAATTGTAGAGTTAAGGTTTTGAGATAATTATTTCCCTTCAACTTGAATTATGGATTTAAAATTGCTCCAATTTAATGCAGTACTGACAACATGTTTGGCGAATCTGATACTGTTTTAAATGATCGATCTGATTCTGTCGTTGAACGCAAACATGTGTTCTGCAACGCGTATTAATGAGTGTGCTCGAAAATAAATACACTTGCTTCATTTATAAACTTCTCTTCCAATGCAGCTCCACTGTAGAAAAAACCATTTGAACACCCAATCAACAAGTAATTGTGCAATGAAAGAAACGTTTTTTTAACCCATGTAAAATCGTTCAACATGTCGCGTCGGTTCAGTTTTTTTTTGCTACCCCATGCCATTAAATAATCATAAATACAAAGGCGGTAAACCTCCTTTTGATATGAATTACATACCGCTTTCAAAGAAAAATGTTCATGCCACCCTCTGACAATAAATTCGTGTTAGGAATCCAAACAAAGGGACTACTGCAGTCAGAATGCACTAAGAAAGCCAATAGAAAATTTGAGGGCGGCGATTGTCACAATAACAGTCATTTTATTTCGATCGATGACCAGTAAAAATTGGAAAGAAAGTCAGCTAAAACAAAACATCCGGGAAGCCTGAAAGCTTTGCTGGGTAAAGTCCACAAGATCATGGTAGGTGTCGATGACGCCAAATAAAAGCAATAAGACGACTCAGTTTCTCACAAAGATTTTGGGAAGATTCTTTTTTATAGAACATGAGGATTTTGGCAATTTTAGAAGTGATTTTGTCCAATTTTAGCTAAAACTTTCAGTTTTGTTGCTTTTGTTAAATTAAGCTGCGGATTATATTTCATATCAACACTCACGTTAGCATTATCTGTGATGCAACCAATGGATTAGTGGAAGTAAATAAATTACTTTTGAAAAAGCGTAATTAATGTATTGAAATCAATCAACATTTTGAATTATGATTATAATTTAATTTTGTGTATCATGTTATGATTTTAAGAAAAAAAAATCTGGTGTGAATATCACACGACTTTCCTTATCCTACTTATTTGGGAAACATTCTAACGACAATAATTTAGTGTTGGAAATCCGAGTAGTAAACCTAACGTAAATAGATCATAGTTGCTGCGGGTTAGAGTCTGGAGTGCATTTTTTTAGTTTTGTGTTCATTATTATTTTTATTTTATCACATTTTACTGTTCAATAAGGTATATTTCATGATTCTAAATAATTTTTATCCACAATCACTCTATAAAGAGACTTTATTCCACACTTTAGATGCGAATAAAGTACCACTTTATCCACTAGTGGAATAGTGGAAGTAACTTTATTCCACTGTTAGTAACCAGTGCACCGCGTAACAGCTTACTACGTTTAACCGAAAGCACATTTGGCGTGACTTTTAAATGTCAGTTTAATTTTTAATTAAGTTAGGAACAATTTGGGCCTGTGATTGTGGATTAAACGATATATTGCAGTGTTAGTCGCGTTTTATCCACTTAAGAAAATTAACCGCTCGAACTGACGTTCTTGCGGTTAAACATTTTTGCGTGGATAAAACGCTATCTAACACACTCTTACAATAAATAACTATTATCCCTATGAATTTATTTATTGTATCTTCAACCATATAATTTTGATTTTTGGTCTTACCGGACGAACGGTGCAACCGATTTTTACTAATTGTTTCGTGCTTTCGTCTCCTTCCTACAACTAACTTAGATACCAAATTTCAAGTTTCTAGCTCTTATCGTTCTCGAGATATGCTGTTTACAGACAGACACACACACACGACCTAATGGCCCAAACCAACTTCTTTGGTGTCTTGAAGCTATAATTCGTCCAGAAATGTTAAAATATAGGTAGGTCAAATTTCAGCCGATTACAATACTTTCCTTATAGGATAAGGAAAGTAAAAAAGAAAAAGGATAGGAGCGGAGCCTCCTCGTTCTTCTGCGGCATGCTATTCATTCAGCTCATTGATAGCTGAAGTTTTATTCTAAAATTCTTTCTCCGGGCATTGTTATTTCAGAGCTTTGTGTTAAATGTTTTCTTCACGGTAGAGTTTAACCAAAATGGAGTCAGTTTTCGGTAGAACGTTCATTGTAACGAAAGATAACACGCATTATGATGATAATAACAATGTTAATCCGCATATGATTCAAGAGTGACGGTATCAGTTTTGATGATGTGCTTCTTTGATCTTAAGAGAATACAGTTTCCGTATATTTAGTTAGAAACACTTATTATAACAGTATAAAATAATTTTTGAAGTTGTATGAAGTGCCAACGAGTTTGTGAGATCATTATTAGATTTATATAGTAATGGGTGGAATTAGCAAACATAATTAACTTTGTCTTTCTTCATTGGAATCATATCCTGTTTTTGTTTAGAAAGGAGCAAAAGACTTCAATTACTTTTATACTCTATTAAGTCTTCTTTGCAAAAATAGAAAGTTAATTAAACCGATGAAATGCTAGAATAATGGTGAATTAATTTCCGAGGTTTCTGTCAACAAAGGATTATCATTTCTTTATGTTCCTATTATGTGTGTATGTGATGGTATAATTTATGTCATACTATACATAATGTAATGCCGTAGCTATTAATAGGCAAGATGTGATAATATAAATCAATTTTGAAACACGTAAAGTGAAAGATTCATTTTCTTTGTTAAATATTTAACAGCTCCTATGACAAGAAAAGCTTTTCAAACTTGGAGGTAGTTACCAAGGATAATATTTTATGGACTTCACGACTTTGCATATAATTTTTTAAATATGAACCTCTTTCTGAGAAAAACCTTAACGGGCGACATTAAATGAAAACCATGATTAAGAAAAGTTAGGAACCATAAAAATTTATGTACACATAACTTTTGCCATATTCTGACCAAATTTACAT